GTGTGACGGTGCCTACACCCCTGTGCACACATTTTTCTTGTAAAGTCAAAATGACTAAGTACAATACACATAATTCACATGGTTACATTTTTACAGCTGTACAAAACTCACAGTACTTCATCAAGAACTTCATCAAGAGCAAGGACTTCTATTTGGGCTTTGAATCCTAAGAAGTAGGACTCCTTTCAGGCCAGAACAGTCTGGAATGGTCTGCTGGAATTGGTTTAAGATGTCTGCACACGTACATTAGACTTTTGGCACCTCCTTAGTCACACCATTAACCTCTGTTAGAAGGAACCAGGGCCATATGTGTTTTCTGCATGTGCAGGAATTGCTGCACTGCTCTCTGCCCAGCAGCCAGGCAGGGACCTTCAAGCACTGGCTTTGAGGGTGACAGCTCACTGATTTGCAGCTGCAAGAAGGTCCTGCCTTACAAAGGGAGAAAGGCAAGAAGATAGCACAATTAGGCCATTCTCACTTTTATTATTAGTTTTAACTGGTGGTAGATTAAGTGTAAAATGCTCACGTCCAGACAAAACCCCTTTTTAGCACTGCCATGGCAAGGCAAAAGGAGGTGCAGGAAGCCAGTTAGCATGGACACACATAGCTTTTTCCTCTTGGCAAGCAGTTCCTTTTCTCTATTCTCTTTTGCTCAAGACTGGAGCATTTACCCCTTTCCCCCTGATTTAGCTCACACAGCAATACCTGATATAATCTATCACATACCCACAGTCTCCCAGGGATGTGACAACTTGCACATTCCAAGCAGATAATGTACTTAACGAGTTAAATGAGTTGGTTCCTTTCACCTCTGCTTTCAGCCCTATAAAGGCACTTACAGAGCACATCTCAGGTTGGAGAGGAAGGCCAAGCAACTGGCTCTTACGTAGCTGCAGGTGTGCCCTGGTATTTGCAGTAACATAAATCTCTCCTAGTCACCTCATTTTGCAGCTAAGCTGCCTAGCCTGTTTCCACAGCATCAGGATTTAGGGGTGGGCCAGTTTTCATCACAGCCTAAGACTTCTGTGTTCTCC